TTTTTGTAGGTTTAGGCTGTGCCAAATAAGTTAGGTTATAAGCTTTCTGTATTTAAATAAACTTCGTTTGGTAGGACGAGCTTTTAAAAAAAAACTCGAGCCTATCTGATAAGCTTCTTTGGATAGCTTTTCAAATAAGGTCGTTGAAATTTTTATCTCGGCTAAGTTATCAGCTAATTTTACCAAACATTTTTATCATATAAACTAATTTTTCAACTATAAGTCATAAGCTATAAGCTACAAACTCGAAAATTACTTATAAGCTATAAGCTAGCTTATCAGTTACAGTTTTATCAAACATAGTGATGTAGGTAAAAGCTTACGAATGGGAAGATAAAACGATACAAGGAGATACTCTCTCCAAAACACGGGATACTCTCCCAAAAGAAAACACGATATCTTATTTCATTCAATATTCAACTCCCCAAATAACAGAGATAAGAAGTCTTTAAATAAGACACTACAAACCCTAAAAGCAATCTTGTCCACCAAGCTAATAATAATAATAATAATAATAATAATAATAATAATAATAATAATAATAATAATAATAATAATAACAATATATCTACATCATCCTCCCCCGGTTCGGAAGGCTTCGCCCTCGAAGCCGGACCAAACGTGCCGACACCGGAGTCGTACGCATGCCAATCATCGCCCGACGTTTCCCCCGGTCAACCACAAAGGTAGAATGTCGTCCAATGTCCTCTTGAGCCGTCCAACACAACATAGAATCTCTACTTCCAAACCAAACACCCTCAGGCAACCCATCCTGCAAGGTGTACACATAATCTGTAGTAAAAAAAGATGACCCCAATAGCAAGATAATCTCGAACCTGGAGAAGCCCATATCCAAAGTCTGGAATAACATTGTTGCACCAAATGATATGATGCTGAAGGATATTGTCCCAACAGCACAAAACAACATAATGCTCTTGCAAATAATTGTCCTAACAACACCAAACAACATAATACTCATGCAATTCCTGAAAAATTGTTTCTTTTTCACCTGGAACCCCGCATTAAAATTAATAGGTGACAGGATATATAGAAAAAATAGCTCGTCATCGAATACCAAGATTCGTGAGTTCCCTTCCTTAGAGGCCAAAAATAATATCACTCTTGTACCCAAACCCATGGGAGTCGTGGATGAAACAGAGCCCACAGATTTTTTCTGCTTCACGTCATAAACTTGACACCGCTTGCTTTGATTCTTATGTAGGTTTGCATCTAAAGCCACATAGTCCTCCTTTTCCACCAGCTCTGGAGGCTCCGCATCGAAAATTGGCGGCTCGTTGTAAAAGTCGCACGTGTCGTCAGTAAGAAGCTCCTCGAGTTCTTCAGCGAACACCAGCGGACCGTCGTAGAATGACTCGTCTACACGAAACACCGATTCACATCGGCCATCGCCAACAATTACAGAACTGCTATAACCAAGGCCGATCGGGGGCCCTCTGCAGCCCTCAAACTCCCTGCCCAAGCAAGGATCGACGCCGTCACATTCGCCAATGCCGTTGCCGTTCAGAGGTGGCTGGGATCGCTGTCGGGGCGCCCCGACATGGTTGCTTCCCCCACGTCCGCCTCTGTCTCCCCCGCGATAGTCACGGCCTCCATCGCGGTCCATTTGCAATCCCGTAACAACCACGTTGTTCGGCGTCAAACACAAATCCTTGATCCCCGTCGAAAGATCGGCAAACCAATCCGTGAAACGCACGTCCAACTCTTGAAATCGGTAGTCAATTTGTTGAAACCGATCGTTGAAGGTTGCATCACGTTGTTTGTTTGCGGCATCTTGTCGTCCCGGCGGCATCGCGATCGTACTGACTGCTGATACCAACTGATGTAGGTAAAAGCTTACGAATGGGAAGATAAAACGATACAAGGAGATACTCTCTCCAAAACACGGGATACTCTCCCAAAAGAAAACACGATATCTTATTTCATTCAATATTCAACTCCCCAAATAACAGAGATAAGAAGTCTTTAAATAAGACACTACAAACCCTAAAAGCAATCTTGTCCACCAAGCTAATAATAATAATAATTATAATAATAATAATAATAATAATAATAATAATAATAATAATAATAACAATAATAACAATATATCTACATCACATAGTCTCAAGGAACACAAAACATAGGACCTCCCATTTTCTAGGGGTAATTTGGTCAATGATAATGATAATTGAACCGGTATTATGAAAATTAATTATTGGGGTTCAAGTTTTAACTGTGCAAAATATCCAAATTGGGCTCTATCAAAAAAAAAAAAAAATCCAATCTTGAGGGCAGTTCTTGATCAGTTTGGAGAGTTCTTTGCTGGCTGTGACAATGACTTTAAAGAGATATATAGTCTGTCATTGGGCTCAGCTGAAAGTTTTCTCTTTTGCAGTTTGCTCTCTAAATAAGAGGAATTTACAAATTGCAGCTCACTTGAATGCTAAGTAGTAAAGTATATGAAAGGGCTTTTGATGTATTAATTAGTTTGGTAATATAAATGAGGGAATGCTACGGTCTCGTTACGGAACCATTCCGTCGGGGTTGTAACCGTTAGATCATTATGTAACCGTTGGGGATAGTTGATCTAATGGCTATAAACCCCGACGGAATGATTCCGTAACGAGACCGTAACATCTCCCAATAAATGATATGTGGTTTGCATTATAAAAACTATGAATATGCATTCTTTTGTGGCGAAAAAAATATGAATGTCTAATGATTAGACAGTCTAACCTAGTACAAGCTTTTTTTGTTGCATGAGATATTAGAAGAGAAATATATGTGGAAAAGGAGAACAAAATATTATTATTATTATTATTATAAAGGTTAAGTATTTATTAAAAATATTATCAGAAATTTTATACAAAGTTTTAATTTACTAATAAAAGATTTTATTTTTTTTTCAAATGTTTTAAATTTTTCCTGATTATTCAATAAATATTATAGATAGATAACAACCTTCACAACTTTTACAGACTGGAATATTAGGGAGAAAATGGATGCAATATGGAGTGAACTCATTTACTTGTTTGTATCTGCAGGAAAGGCATGTGTATATATTTGGGGCAAAAACTTGTTTATACAGTCAATAATTGCTGTGGGAGTCCCTGCAAAAAAATTGAGATAATTACACATTAGTCATGTAGGATTGGTGGAGTTCTAAATTTGACCCTATTTAAGCAAAACCAACCTTTTTATTTTTTTGGTTTGTCTTGCTAGTTGCTAATGCAAAAAAGGTCCCATTATTACAAATATTGGATTAATTGGGGTAGTGGGACGAAATTTGCAGAAGGGTGACTTTTAAATGATCAGATTTGCAGTACTTTGAATTTTATATGAGACTAATTATGTAATTTTCCTTTGATTCTTACATTTTTGTGCACAATTTGAGTGTGTATAATAAAAGCTCATATAAAATTAGGTAAATTTCAGCTTCAAATTTCAACATATAACTGATTGGGATGGGTTACCTTTGAAGTTTGGAGATTATTGTACTGTGATGATCATAAAAGAAGGGAAGGGATGGGTGCGGTTCCACGCACGTAAAGCGCACCATGACAGAGTGAGCTCATATCTATTATTATATAAAGAAGTAACCTAAATAATTCTAAAATAGTAATTAAAAAATAATTGGAAAACCCGCTTAAAAACTAAGTACGGTAATTTTCTTTTGAAATTTTTCATTTGCCGGTTAGTGGACACTCTTAATTTTTTTTTTGAAAATTTTCATGTAGTGGATGATTTATTGTCCCGATTTTCCATCCCAATTTTGTGGAAAGGAATTGAATTGAATTGATCCATCCCAATTTTCGATAATATTCCATAGAGAATTAATAGGACACGGATCTTTCTTTCGTCTCCTTCTGCGGAAAAGAATTGATCGTGATTTGGTTATTTATCCAACCAAAATTATATCAAAATTTCGGATCAGATAAACATGCAGACCGGTTGAGTATAAAAAGATATTCAGTGATACCTTTTTTATTCACCTAATCAAAACACGTAACACGCTCTCATACCAAAATTTGACTGAAGGACGCACGTATTTAAGCTCTATCAGTACTCGTAAATCCAACTCCAATACCGACTTTCTGACAGAACTCCATACTCCCGAGTTCTTGAATACTATCAAGTGTTCTGGAACACCAAATCATGAGCTGAATTTGAAGGTAGGAACTCCAGTGATGTTGCGAAACATGGATCACTCAATCGGACTTTGCAATGGTACACGATTGGTTGTGACTAAACTCTTCAATCATGTTCTCGAGTGTAAAACTCTTACTGGCGATCATGCAGGTGATAAAGTTTTGATACCTCGAATGACCATTACTCCTTCTGATATTAGAGTTCCACTCAAATTCCAAAGAAGGCAGTTCCCGATTATGGTTTCTTGCGCAATGACTATAAACAAGAGTCAAGGTCAATCCTTATCGCATGTTGGCTTATTCTTGAAGAAGCCAGTTTTTAGTCATGACCAGTTATATGTCGTTGTCTCCCGTGTTACTAATAGAAAGGGTCTGAAAAATTTAATTTGTGGAGAAGAAGGTTTGAAAGAAAATGATGTAGAGCGTAAGTAAGAAATGGGAAGAATAAGCACAATTGCTAGAACATATTTTTTTTTATTTTCAATCGATAAAACTGTTCTTCTTCTGCGCTGGAAGAGAACTTAATAATAACAAGAGTCCAACATTCCCTAACCTCTAATAAAAGACTAATAATTATTTAAAGTCCCAAAATAATAATAAGGTCAAGTAAAATAAAAACTAGTAATAAAAGCTAGATACGAAGACGATCGTATTTATTCAAAAACGCTATCGCGGTCTCGTCTCCATCATCCTCCCCCGGTTGGGAAGGATTCGGCCGCGAATCCGAACCGGTCTCATCTTCCTCCGAGTTATCCCCCGCAAACGGCACCAAATGTTTGACGTTAAAAACGTCGGATGTGCGAATGTGAGAAGGAAGCCGAAGACGGTAAGCATTGGGGTTTATTTTCTCCACAACCTCCACGGGCCCGATTTTACGTGCAGCCAACTTATTAAACTCGTGCGCAGGAAACCTGTCCTTTGTCAAAACAGCCCAAACAAAATCGCCTACCTCGAACTCCACATGGCGACGTCGAGAATCAGCGGCCCGCTTGTAAGCGGCAGTCGATGACTCCAACCGAGCCCGAGCCGCGGTATGCGTCTTCAGCAACTCGGCCACGAGGTCCGACGCACGTGGATCAGTCAAGCCAGACGACGGCAACGGCGCCAAGTCGCACGGTCCCCGAGGCTGGACCCCGTACACAATCTGGAAAGGCGAGAAGCCCGTAGCCCGACCAACCGCAGTGTTATGAGCGAACTCAGCTTGACACAAACGTTGGTCCCAACTCCGTATATTATCCCTAACCAGGCAACGGAGTATGTTGCCCAATGATCGATTCACCACCTCAGTCTGACCGTCCGTCTGAGGGTGATAAGCGCTGCTGAAGTCGAGACGGGTGGCGACCATACGCCACAAGCTCCGCCAGAAATAACTCAAAAATCGTGTATCACGGTCAGAAACAATAGCCAAAGGCAGGCCATGAAGACGGTAAATCTCACGAAAAAATAATTGGGCGACATGGACAACATCCGTGGTACGCTTGCAAGGAATGAAGTGCACCATCTTCGAAAAGCGATCGACCACGACAAAAATAGAATCAAATCCTCGCTGTGTACGAGGCAAGCCCAAGACAAAATCCATGCTGATCGACTGCCATGGTCGGGACGGAATCGGCAGAGGCCGGTACAAGCCAGCATTCGTCGCGACCCCCTTCGAAACCTGACAAATCCGACAACGGGCAACAAATTTGCCCACATCACGCCGCAGGGACGGCCAAAAATAGTTGCGACTGACGAGCTCAACAGAGCGATCACGGCCCACGTGCCCGGTCCCGTGCAAGTCAGCAATGAGCTTGTGTCGAAGACTGCAATCCGGGATACATAAACGAACCCCACGAAAAAGGAAACCATCGACCAAAGTGTAGTCCTCGTACGGCCCGTCACGAAGACGACCCATAATAGGGCCAAAAAATGGGTCCTCCAAATACACGTCCCGCAGTACCTCAAAACCCACCACCGACACACGCATCTCAGACAAAAGAAGAGAACGCCTACTCAAAGCATCGGCCACCCTGTTAGAGGCACCCGAACGATGGCGAAGGACGAATGTGAACTGCTGCAGAAAAGCAGTCCAAGAAGCATGGCGCGTAGAAATATTGTCCTGAGAGGCTAGATGCCGAAGTGCCTCATGGTCGGTGTACAACACGAACTCCCTGTGAAACAGATAATGTCGCCATTGGCGAACCGCACGAACCACAGCATAAAATTCAATATCATAAGTACTGTACCTCAAACGCGGGCCCGAGAGCTTCTCACTGAAGAAAGAGACCGGACGTCCATCTTGGCTCAGGACAGCCCCTATCCCCACCTTCGAGGCGTCGCAAGATAGTTCAAAAGGACGAGAAAAATCTGGTAACACAAGCACCGGGGCCGAAGTGAGTTTGCTCTTGATAAGAGCGAAGGCATCGGCGGCTGCTGCGGTCCAAGTGAAAGACTTCCCTGTGAGACAGTCAGTGATCGGGGCCATCAATGAGCTAAAATGTGAGATGAACCGACAATAAAACGAGGCGAGGCCGTGAAAGCTGCGAGCCTCAGTAAACGTAGTCGGGGTCGGCCAATCCCGCACTGCCGCCACCTTGCCCTCATCAACACGAATACCCTCGGCTGAAATAAGAAAGCCCAAAAATAAGACAGACTCCACCATGAGAAAACATTTATTCGGAGCAGCAAAGAAAGACTCCGCCCTCAAGATACACAGAACTGCTCGCACGTGCTCCAAATGGTCCTCCACCGAACGACTATAGATAAGTATATCGTCGAAATAAACGACGACACACTTCCCGAGAAGATCCCTCAAAGTCTGGTTCATGATACGCATAAAAGTGCTCGGCGCGTTGGAAAGACCGAATGGCATCACCATCCACTCGAAAAGCCCCTCCCGAATCTTAAAGGCCGTCTTCCACTCGTCACCCGGTCGAATCCGGATCTGATGGTAACCACTACGAAGATCCAACTTGGTGAAGACTGTGGCCCCGTGTAACTGATCTAGCAAATCATCCAAGCGAGGAATGGGGAAACGATACCTCACTGTGATCTTGTTGATAGCCCGACTATCCACACACATACGCCAAGCCCCGTCC